ATATATATATACTAAAAACAAAACAGAAAACTTACAAGGAATACAGGACTGTCATAAAAACAAATTTAAATCAAACTCAACAGACGACAAATATCAAAGGAATTTAAACATTTTTGGTGGTTTGTCAAACTAAATTGCTTAAAGCAGGATGWAAAATCTTGTAGCTTAACACACTCAAGCAGAGGAGACAGTTTAATACCGGAAAATCCATTTCTCATAAAGAAAAAAAGTTATATAAATGAAAGACAAGCATCCACATAACATTTTATTGACATACAGGGTAACAGAAGGTAAATGCCTCTGGAAAAAAAAGTTGTGTCATTGCACACAATGAACAKCAGGATTTTCTGTATTTGCATTTTGTACTTGGCTGTGTGTACAGTCCTTATACACACAGAGGTACAGGAAAATTTTCCATTTGTGTCTCAGTGGGTTGTGTGTGCAACGGTAATAATTCTGACTTAAGATGCTACAATATGCTATGCCCTGTAACTGGAAGACCCCTGCTAGGAGAAACAACGTCTTTACAGGACAACAGCTGCAAAGATATCAATTCTTGAAAGATTTACACAATGAAGATGTGTGCGTGCATTTCCAAAATGTTACCAACGAGAGGACAAACTTCCCACCACACATCAGTATGCTCCTGCACATCCAGGACACTACGCTGCACCTGTCAAGCAGCACATAAAATCTACCAGCCGTCACCGAGCAATCTCTGCTGTTGCTTGTCAGTGCCAGAGAAGAGAGGAAGGAGATACAAGCAAAGATGAACTTATGGCAGGTAATGAGGTATGCAAATATCAAGGAGAGAGAGGGAAGACAGAATAATCTGCCAGGAGTCGAGGGGTAAACAGGGATCAGAGAGGCATGTAAATGTAGCGGAGAAGAAAGGAGGAATCTAGGAAAAGATGGATCACTGACAACACAGATGCTGCTGCTATCCTTTTTTTTTATTTCTGGCAGCATTTTATTCATTTCTTTACAGTGGATTAGAAAAGGAAAATTGATCTCTATAAATGCAGAACTATAGATGTAAAGAAAGACTTACAACTAAAGGCATAAATATTGTTTTGGACGGCGATACAATCAAAAAGTTGTATCATGCTAATGTTATTTAACTTTATCAGACCTACTGAGGCAAAGTGGCAAAAATGTTTTCAACTGTTTGTGTTTGTAGTAAATGTCATCTTTATTTAAGATTTTAGCATGAACTCTTGGTTGACCAATAAACAGGTTTTAATGAAATTACGATTTTGAGTCAACCCAATTCAAGACAGCTGCCACAGCTAAACCTTAGCCAGCATAAAAATGTCTACTTAGTCAAATGTAGAGTGGTTCAC